TAATCTTTATAATTTATTTATAATGATATAGAATATAATCTTTATAATTAATTTATATAATGATATAAAATAAAGAAAAAAATTATTTTATATCATTATATAAATAAATTATAAAGATTATATTTTGTCATTAAGTTATAATCCATATAAAGAGACTCGCTCACAAATTTGACATCAAATTTTGAAAATTCACTTGACACACACTTTCATTCTCGAGTGCGTCCTCACATCCAACATATAAATATATAAATATATTTATATTTGTATTTATATATTTTATATTTATATATTTACATAGATATATATTTTTATTTGTATATAAATATAATTTATGTATAAGTTATTATCGAGAAAATCCTAGTAGCTTAGTGGTTGGAGTATCACCTCCGACTTTAAGATATTGGGTTCGAATCCCGCAGATGATAATTCTCTTAATCTAATAATAGTTCAAATTTCTAAAAAATATAATATATAATAAAAATATAATATAAAAGGGAGAGGAGACCTCTAGATCAATAGATAGGGTAATTGGATAGAGGTTATGAATAAATAAAATAAATAAATAAAAATATTAGATTTTCTACATCGGTTCTAAAACCGATGTTAAAAGCCTATTTTCTACTAGTATGTTTTTCATGAGCATAGTAAACAAGTGGATTACCGCTCTACCCTTTAGGGTCTTCATAGTCATGGTATCATGTGAGCTTGTAGAATTCATTACCAAAGTCTTCCTACGTACAGTAATCCGATTCTACTCAACAAATTAAGGCTTTTGGATCAACTACATCTATTTGATGGAGATATTAATCATTAACCCGATTATTATTATTGTCCTTTTATTTGATGAAAAGAATCAGCTTAACAATTATGTTATTTAATTTCCCTTTTTAGCTTATACAAATTAAGAATTATATTCAATTGCCATTTAGAACTATAATTGAGGATGTGTTATTTAATAGTCAACTACATATTTGACAAAGAAGAACCACAATTTGGTATTGTTTTGCCTTGATCTTCTTTGACATGTAATTCTCTTACAACAACTTTATATCTAAGCCTCTTTCTTAGATTGTTATGATTTTAGATAACTTATAAACCTACTTGGTGTTTGAAGTAAATAAAAGTTAGGAATGTTTGGTTTGTTAGGATAAAATTAAATAATAATATAATTAATTTTAAGAGTTTATTGGAATAAAAAGATAATAAGAAGATAATTAGGAGTTTTTAGGAAATATTAGTGATATCTTGGGCAATTATTAGTTGATTTTGGGAAGATCCTAGAATTATGCATATATATACTATTGTAATACTATTTGAGATATGACAAAGAATCATTAATATACACTTTTACAGTTTCTGAAAAATTCTTTATTATTAAATTGGTATCAAGAGCTAAGGTTTTTTAGAAGAAATAGGGTTGTTTAGAAGAGTGAGAGCTAGGGTTTGAGTGTTAGGAAAAGAGTGCAAATGGTTGCTCTAAGTGTTGTTGCAATTGTGCTCTGACTGATGAAGAACGTTAGCTATGATAAATGGAGTGGTTAGATGAAGACTCTCCTCAAAGCCCAAGGCGTTTGAAAAATGGTGGAGGAAGGTTTTGAACAACTAGACATCACTTAAGAACTGGCAATCAATGAACTCAAGGACTTACAGAAGAAATGTGAGAAAGACAGTGCAACTTTGTTTTTGTTGTTTCGAATTGTAGAAGATTCTAACTTTGAAAAGATTGTTGGAGCCACATCGGCATCCAATGCGTGGGACATGTTAAAGAAGAAGCACAAGAAAGATAACTGAGTCATATAGATTCAACGTCAAACACTACGAAGCAAGATGGAGAGCATGAAGATGAAGGGGTCGAAAAAAGTTTCTGAATATGTCTTACATGTTGAAAATGTGGCAAAATAGCTTAATCAGAACAAAGAGGTATTTTCCACAAATCAGATCGTTGAGAAGATCTTAAGGTCATTAACAAAATTCTTTAACAACATGGTGTATTTCAATAAAAGAATTGGTTGGATCTCTTGAAGCCTATGAACACCGAATGGAGAAAGATAAGGAGGACGAGAACACGAGTGTAAAACTACTCCAAACCGAGGAGAAGGCGCTCTATTATCAGAATAATAGAGGAAGAGGACGTAGTGGTCGGTCCTGAGGTGGATGATCTAACCGAGGAGGTTGAGGAGGATTCAATGGCCGAGATGACGAGAAAAAAGGGGTTTAACAAAACTAGGTAGAAGATGTAGTCGGAGAGGAGGTCAGTCGACCAACCACTCAAACGTCGAGTGCTTCAAGTGTTGCAAATATTGCCATTATGCAAAGGACTAATACTTGGACAAATGTTTCAACTGGGGAAAGGAGAGGTATTTTGCAAAAGAATGTCAAAAGATGGGTGACACCCATCTCACAGAAGGGATAGAAGAACTAGTGCTCCACACAAGAAGTAGAAGTCGATTATGACATGGCAATATACTTAGGATCATATTACAACTCAGACAGTTTGACTGGTACCTAGATCCAGGGGCAAGTAATTATATGTCTGGTAACGATCGTCTTTTTAAGGAGTTAAAGAGGCAAATGTTGGTGGTGTGTCATTTGGAGATGCTTTAAGAGTCTCAGTAAAAGGTCGAGCCATGATCAACTATTTGTAAAAGGATGGATTGGTTGGAATGACCCAAGATGTGTACTTTGTTCTTGATCTCAAAAACAACATTTTGAGTATGGGACAATTAATGAAGAAAGGATACTCGGTTTTCATGAAAGATCGAGTACTATAGTTGAGGGACAAGCTTGAAAGGTTGATTGCTCGGGTTAAGATGGAGGAACAAAATATACAAGATGTAGTTGAAAAGTATTCAGGAGAAGTGTCTGGAACTTAATGTGGAGGACATGACTTTGATTTGGCATCACCGGTTTGGCCACTTAAGTTTTGGAGGGCTAGATGAGCTGTCAAATAAAAGTATGCTGCTTGGACTGCCGAGCTTGGAGAATGAAGAAAGATTCTGCAAGAATTATGTTCTCGGAAAATTGGCAAGGACCCCTTTTCCAAGGAGTGTCAAATATCGAGGAATAAACAACTTGGGCTGATTCATACCAATCTGTGTGGACCGATTATTCCTGATTCATTTAGTGATAAGAAATATTTCATGACAATAGTAGATGACTTAGCTAGAAAGATGTGAGTGGATCTACTGAAAGAAAAATCTGAAGTGTTTGAAATATTTAAGAAGTTCAAAATGATGATTAAAAATGTGATCGGGTGGCATATCAGATCGATCCAATCTGATAGAGGAGGAGAATTCATGTCGGTAGTTCTCATAAAATATTGTGGAGATGAAGGAATAAGGAGATATTTAACAGTCCCGTACTCACCACAACAATATGGTGTGCTCAAGAAAGAGGTGTATATTGAGCAACTACTTGGATATGTGAAGAAAGGCGAGGAGAAAAAAAATACTAAAATTGAAAAAGGCACTTTATGGGCTAAAGAAAGCTCCTCGGTCATGGAATGACTGGATGGATACTTACTTCAAGGAGAACGGGTTTATACAGTATCCCTATGAACATGCTTTGTATGTTAAGAAGAATAGAGGTAATGTGATGTTTGTTGCACTATATGTCGATGATCTCATTTTTATGGGAAATAATTTTGGAATGATTCAAAAATTCAAGCGTGCAATGGTAATTGAATTTGAGATGACTGATCTTGGCATGATGAAGATTTTTCTTAAGACGAGGAATCGGGGATATTCGTGTCCTAAGATGCGTATGCAAAGGAGATTCTAAGCAAGTTTAAGATCATCGATTGTAATTCGGTCTCAACCCCCATGGAACCAAGGACGATGCTTTCCAAATTTGATTAAAGAGATTGAGTTGATCCGAGTAGATATCGCAACCTAGTTAAAATTCTTCGTTACCTCACTAGTACCAAACCCGATTTATTGTTGAATGTTGGGATTGTCAGTTGGTTTATGGAAAATCCGAGCTACTCTCATTGTAAGACGTTGAAGTGAATTTTGAGGTATATCGGAGGTACATTGTCACTTGGACTGTGGTACATGAGGTCGGACAGTGATTGGTGTGGAGATGTGAATGATCGAAAAAGTACATCGGGGTATGTATTCTTCATGAGTAACGCGATGTTTACCTAGCTTCTGAAGAAGCAACCTATAGTAACATTGTCAACCTATGAAGTCAAGTACATAATAGCATCGTGGAGTGTGTGCCATGTTGTGTGCCATGTAGTGTGGCTTAGAAATTTGCTAAGCTCGGTGGATGAGAAACAACTTGGTGCAACCCTAACCCGAGTTGATAACAAGTCGACCATTGAACTACCAAAAAATTCAATCAATCATGAGAAAAGTAAGCACATTGATGTGCATTTTCACTTCATCTGATAACATGTGAAGGAAAGAAATGTGGAGCTCGTACATGTGGCGAGCCGAAATCAAGTTGTTGATATTTTTATGAAACCATTACCTACTTTATTATTTGAGAATTGCAAGAGACTGATCGAAATGAAGGATGAAAAGAACTCAGGATGCTTGGAAAGATGACAAGTCGTCTAAGTTAGGAGCTCGGGAGTTGGGAGATCGGAATCACGCTGATCTCAAGTATTTTTTATTGCAGAGAATTAATTTTACAAGAGAGTTTTTTTAAGATAAAATTAAATAATAAATAATTAGTTTTAAGAGTTTATTAGAATAAAAAGATAATTAGGAATTTTTAGAAATATTTTGATATTAGTAATATCTAGACGATTATTAATTGATTTTGGAAAGATCCTGGAGCTCTACATAAATACACTCTTGTAATTTTATTTGATATTACAAATAATTAATAATATACAATTTTATTGTTGCTAAAATTCTTTGTTATCATGGTTTGTGATTATTAGTTGAAAGTACCCCTAGACCTGAATAATCTATACTGACAAAGGGTATGTTTATGATTCGGGACTACTATTCAGAGTTAACTTCACAATTGGAGTATCAGAAGAGAGAGTGATGCTTTCAGGAATACATACTGTGGCAGATATTTTTTGCTGTTGTTGTGGTCAAATAATTGGCTGGAAATATGTAATACCCCTCTCTTACCCTCTCTTCATGTAAATCTGGAATCAATGGTACAAAATTTTTAATATATAGAGAGATAGTTTAATGACAATAATCAATGTCATTCTTTAACATTTGCCATACTCTTTCAGGAATCTGCACACGAGAAGAGTCAAAAGTATAAGGAAGGGAAGTTTGTTCTTGAAAGGTATTTATATTTATATATTTTTCCATTGGCTATTGGTTAAGACAATTTGGTTGCAATGGTGTTATTAATGTGTTTATATTAACTATGCTTATCCTGTGTGTCAATACAAAAGAGGAAGGATTGTCGATGACGTTGATTTCTCCGCTGAATTCTACATCGACAGTCGTGCCAGCATGAGTGATGGTGAAGATTCTTAAAACATGCTGCTGAACTTTTTGGATCAGAAAAAAAAAAGGAAATGCACTGCTTTCTGTATATGAGCAACAATAATTGTAACCCCTGAAAATGTTCAAAATTAACAAAGTTTATTTATTGTTTATTTATTTATAAGTGATGTGTGAAAATAAGAGTTGCCAATCGTGTGTAAATTGTGGGTAAAGAAAAAAGATGAAACATTGAAAGGGTAGTTTCAGATATGCTCAAAATATTTGGAAAGAACTTGGTGTCAGTATGTTTGAACTTCAGAACACCTTGTATTATCCTTGGACTAGAAGTGAATATATAAGAAAAAAATAAAAGTAGGAGTAGAAGAGATATATGTTTGGATAGATAGCAATAATAAGAAAAAAAAAAAACAGAAATTTTCTTTTGGGTGATTATATTAGTGAAAATATTGCTGGTGTTACTGACACTGATTGATATATATATATATATATATATATATATATATATATATATATATATATATATATATATATATATATATATATAAAGATGTAAGCATCGAGGAAAAGGTTATAATTGAGAAAATCTTTTATTTTATAATTATTTTAAAGTTAAAAATAAATTCTTTAAAAATAAGTGAAAGCTGTTTAGCAATTTTTATTAATTATTTAGTTTATAAGATCATTTTAAGTTCAAAGCTGCTTGATAGAAAAAAATATATCTTTTATTTAAAATGACTTGTCTTGTATACTAGATTTTATTTATTTTTTAAATATTGCAATAAATACTTAAATTTATTTAAGAAATTGATGTTTAAAATATCTTAAATTATTTTAATTAGTAACTATTTATTTTACTATCAAATGCAAATACTTTACTATACATTTTTAAATTAATGAAATTTACAAAAGCGCAAAAATAAATCAAGAATTTCCACGTGAGAATAAATGTAAGAATAACTAAATATTTATTTAAGTGGGGTAATTTTCATAAAATGATTTTTTTCTTATTTTTCTCATATATGAGTAAGTGAAAAGTAAAATAAAAATTGATGTTTTTTTATATTATTTTTCTTATTACTAAATAAAAAAATATCTTTTTTCAACTATTTTTAGTAGTCATTTTCTATTCTTTACAGAACATAGCTTTAATATAGAAAAATATGTTTCATTAAAAATGGAAAGAGTCCATTAGTATAAGCAGAAGTCTATTGTAAAAGATATTATTATGTATATCTAAAAAATAAAAGTAATTATTAATTTTTTTGTTTACATTTTTAACATAGCTTTAACACAGAGAATATGTGTCATTCTCCTTATTAAAATGGCAAGAGTCCATTAGTATAAGTAAAAGTCTATTGAAAAGAATATTATGTATATCTAAAAAATAAAAGTAGTTATTATTTTTCTTGATTACATTTTTGAGAATACATGCCAAGAGTATATAAAGCATAACTTAATTATGGATATATTTGTAAACTAGTTTATTTTGTTGGAGGGAGAAGTAATAACTTAATCTTCAAGTTAATTTAAAACCCGTCTTAAGTTAAAAGATTCTCAATTTTGTTCTTCACTCTACTCTTTAAATCATTAAATTTCTTTAAATGTATAAGATTTTTTTATCTTTTAAATACTTTTCTATCCATAATTAGTCCAAAACCACAAATTATATTTTAGTAATTAGGGATTTAATTTTTTTTCTATAAAGAAAAGGATTGACATTATAATTTGATTACAACGAATAAAAAACTAAATTTAAATAAAATAGTTAAGAGTCAAGGTCAAACATACATTTTTTCCCATATATATAAATGGAAAAAAATGTCATTTCATATATTCATGTCCAATCTTGAAAATTTAAATTAATATTAAATGTCCCATTTTTTTAAATAAATTTGAGAAAAATAATATATTTAAACAGAGGAAGTGTATAAATTCCTATTAAGTTATAATAATAATATTAATAATAATAATATTAATAATAATAATAATAATAATAATAATAATAATAATAATAAAATAATAATAATAATAATAATAATAATAATTGAAGTAAAAAATGAGCTTGTATTAATAACCCAATAGTGCAAATTAAAAAAAAATGTATATTTTTATTATTTTAAGTTTTTTGTGTTAATTTCAATAGGTGTGTCAACTGTAAAATATTTATTAGATTTGTTTGTTATGATCTTCTTACCTAATATTATATATATATATATATATATATATATAAAAGATTTATTTTATACTATATATATATATATTTATTTATTGAGTATTCTTTTTTTTCTTCTTCTTATTCTTCTCTTCTATTCTATAATGGTATTAGAGCTCTACTACATTACTTCAATCTTTTTAGTTTTGCTTTACCATGGTTTAAGAAGCAAAATATAATCAAGATAAGTTACCTTAACAAGAATTCTGTTACCAATCTTGTTTCTTCTATCCTTGATGAAATCAACTATCATTCATGGGTTCTATCCATGATAATTGCTCTAAGTGCAAAGAACAAATTGGATTTCATCGATGTTATCTTAAAAGAGCCTAATAAAGATGATTATTCTTACCAGTCTTGAAATCATTGTAACAATATGGTAGTTTCTTATATCATTCACTTTATTTTTGAACCTATATGGAAGAGTGTCCTATGGATAACCAAAGTTGAAGATATTTGGGATGACCTTAAATCAAGATACTTTCAAGGAAACCTCTTGAGAATTGTCGATTTGTATATTGAAGCCTTGCTACTCAAGCAAGGTGACTCCACTATCATATAGTTTTTTACCAAGTTTCACATCATTTGGGATGAGTTGGAAATTTTCTGACCTAATCCAACTTGTACTTGCACTATGGTATGCTCTTGCATCGCCCTTCCTACCTTTCGCTAGAGGAAGGACGAAGATCAAGCCATGAAATTTCTTTGTGGATTAGGCAAACAATATGTGAATATAAAGTCTCATGTCCTCTTGATGGAAACCATTCCAACAAAATATGTTTTTATGTTTCTCAACAAGAAAGGTAGATCCAAGGGAACGTTCTCATTGGTTGAATTAGGACCCAAAATCAACGTCATATCCAACTTGTTTAGTTATTGCTCTTATTATGGAAGAAATGGTTATACTGAGAACGTTTGCTAATGCAAACATGGTTAAGGTAACAAAAATCCCAAGAAGACTTGTACACACTGTGGGAAACTCATTTTACACCATTGATGTTTGCTACAAGAAGCATAGGTATCCCCTAGCCACAAATTATACAATGATAAGAGTAATATTAACAGTATTGAAGTTGTTAATGAAGTCAATCATAATCTTGATTCAAGAAATCAAGAATTTTGTCTCTCACAAGACAATACCAAGCTCTTATGACCCTCCACAACACAACTCGAATAATTTTGTAAGAAAAATTTTCTTATTCAACAAGGTCCCCAAAAGTGAAAGGAAACATTATCACTAACATAAGTTCTTCAAATTTTGAAAGATCAAATTCTTAGATTATTGATTCAGGTACAACCTATCACCTTACTTCTTCTCTTTCTAATTTTCTTTCTTATAAATCTATCAATCCTATTATTGTTTGTCTTCCTAATGGTTCAAAGGTTTATCCTACTTATACTAACACTATTAAAATTGGTGATCTCTTTCTTGAAGATGTTATTTTTATCCCTTTTTCTTTTATAATTTGAAATTTGTTTCTAAATTAACTTCTATGTTGAAATATTATGTCATTTTTTCTGATAATTGTTCTATTATTTAGGACAAGAAAACCAAATAGAAGATTGACTTAGTTAATGTTAAAGTTGGTTTATACACTCCTAACACCTCCACTGACCAATCTCAATTATTTCATTCCTCTATTGTTGATAATAAAGGTCTCTAACATGCTCGATTAGGGCATTTATCTAATGAACGTTTACTCATTATGGAACAATATTCCTATATACATTTCAATGAAAATCAACCTTGAAATGTTTACCTTTTAATCGTAACGACTCGCATAGTTCGACATTTTTCATTCTTATGCATGTTAACATTTGGGACCTTGTCCCGAGTTATGTTTGCATGGTCACAAATATTTTCTTACTGTTATTGATGATTACACTCAGTATACTTGGGTTTATCTTATATAGAATAAAGGTAAACCTATAAGTCATTTAGTCAATTTTATTACCTTTGTAGAAAATCAATTTAAATAACATGTCATGATTATTAGGTTGGACAATGGACTTGAATTTCACATGAAAAATTGTTTTGATTCCAAAGGTATCATTCATTAAACCAATTGCATTGGAACATCTTAACAAAATGTCCTTGTTGAAAGAAAACATCAACATATTTTCATTCTAAACTTTGAATTTTTGTGTTTTGTACTCAAATATGTTATTTTTTTTATCAATTATATTCCAACCCCTTATCTAGACAACAACCTACCCTACGAACGACTACACAGTAAGCTTCCTGATCTTAGCATGTAAGAATTAATGGTTGAGTTCAAGAGGGGGGGTGAATTAAACTTAGAAATCTTTTTCGAAAAACTCGCTTTCTTTGTGGAAGAATGATTAATCTTTATCCAATCTTTTATTAGGCAGATTTGGTTTTAAACAAAGCAAGAATATAAACCAGAAATGAAAAGAGATAAATGCAGAAATACAACACAAGAGTTTATACTAGTTCACTCTTCCCAAGAGCTACATCTAGTTCTTGACAAATCTGTCAAGTTCCACTAATATCAAGTGAAAATACAAACCAGTAGATACACACCAATCTACCCCAAGATCTACCTTACAACACCACAAGATAGACTCTTGAAAAATCACCCAACAACTAAACCCAGTTATTGTAACCAGTGCAGATTCAAACCCAATCTACACAATTAGAATTCGTACAAGTATATGAAAAGAATAAACCTAGACCGCATATTTTACAATATAGAAGTCCAGAAGCAATTTTTCTAACTCAGAACTTTCTCTCTTGAAGATCTTTCAACAATCTTGATCAAAACGCCTTATGATATGAAATGTGTATGAATGCTCA